CACTGACACACACACAGACACAGATACCCATAAAGTCAGTAACCGTGACGATCTGCGGACTCGGCACACGTCTCGGGAGACGAACTCAAGGAGCAGCATCAGCAAAGAGCACAGGCAGACGGACAATCGGTGTCTCCCTCCCGTGAGAAAGGCTCATGGGTTTATTTATTGATCTTGGCCTTTCACTGACCCCTCAGCTCAGCACCCCGGGGCCTCAGCTACAACATTTCAGAGTCAAAACCCGGCCACAGAGCTGCCTGACGAGGTTCTCGGTCTCCTTAACAAGTTTTATCCAACGAGTTCGTTAATGAGTCCTTTGACGAAGCGAGCAACGAAAAGCAAACCAATCAATCATCGGGGAAAAAACAGTTCTTCACCAGCAGGCAGTGGTCCTGCTGCTGGACCCACAGTACAGCAACACTGGCCCTGCCGGCCCTCCCACCCCCCCAAAAAACAAAGCTTCACCTCCTTTTATCTCATCCTTCGCCCCGATGTTCCATTATAGCCTCGGGCCACGCTGGGACCACTGAGACCAGTACAGTACTCCATTCCAGCCCAGTTCCCTGCCTTCTGCTCCAGCCCAGCCCCAGTACACCAATATGGTGCGGACGCGTGGGGCGCGGGCGTTCCCGTGCCGCGTTCTCACTGAGAACCGTAGCGCACTCCGACACTAGCCCCCCCCGCGGGTGGAGGGCCCCTCGCGCTCTCCCGTCCTCCGGAGAGGAAGAGATTCCCATCCTTCCCAGCGATGCCCAGTCCCCGCCCCTCCCTCCCTCCCCCAAGCTGAAGTGCAGGCCGCACTCTTAGCGTGCGACAGTTTCATTCATTAATCAGTAAATCAATCAATCGATCGATTCATCTTCTTCTGTCTGGCTGCCCTAATGAGATCGAAGACACATATTTACAAGAGGTGGGCACTGTATTTCTCACCCTCTCCGTTTGAGTTGCAAGTGTACAGACACCTTTTACACATAGATATAGATCTCCACACGCAACGTTTTTTTCTGTGCTTGTCAGAGTGAAGAAACACCCATCCCGAAAAATAGAAATTCATACAAAAATAAAATGTGAGATAGAAAGAGCCATGTTGGGCAACATTCTGCTGTGGTGTCTCCTCTAGTGAGAAACAGTGAAAGAGAGGGATGGAGTGAGAGACAGAGAGAGGCAGGGACAGTGAGAGACAGAGAGAGGCAGGGCCAGACAGACAGGAGAGGAGTGAGAGAGACAGAGGCAGGGACAACAAGAGGAAGAGGGGGACAGAGACAGAGGCAGGACAGACAGTTGGAAAAAGGTGTTGACATTTTATTGCTCCTGGGTGGTCTTGCTCAGTAACTGGTGACTGCATTAGGCAAAGTGCAGAACAGCGCATTGTGCACTGCTGGTACCACTTGTGGATAT